TAAAAGACAACAATCATATTACACTAATATTATTACACATTTTCCCACCTCAAAAACAGCATTTATTATCAAAATTGTGGATACTTCTTCTCATCCATAAAACTGCATACATGTGTACTAATTAAAGTATTTTTACATAGTACTGAAATGGTGAATCATTATTCCACTAGTTAATCATTATTTAAGTTTCTCTGTAACTAATTCCAAGAAAGTCAAGACAATGACAGGCAAAGATAACAATTTGTTCAAGAGAAAGGAAGGATCCACAGTTAGGTTAATTAATAAAAATATTCTTGCTGTAGTTCTTTGCGTACCGGTATTCCACTTGGTTGTGGAAATACATGTCCAGTACATGATTTTTTTTGTAAATGATTCTTACTGATTGTTTTTACTGAGCTAGTGAATTTGATTGCATTTCAGGGCTCTGAGTAGTCTGAGAGGCCTCAGATTTAAAATCTTCTGGGTAAGCGTGCCCCCAGACCCGCTAACAGGCTTATGCCTTTGGCAGCTCCCTCACCGACCCATGCCCACCAATTTCTTGATGACACAATTGATTGTTTCCCCACTTCTGTTTCAGTCTGGCTATGCCACTGCTCACAACATCAAATTTAACAGTTTCAGGACTATTAAAATCAGGAGTTTTGTTTATATGGCAAAATCGGACAAGTCAATTTATTGTATGCGGGCCATTAACAGTTGACTTGTTAACAGTACACGACTATATGTTGATGTCATATAACAAGTGAATCCAGTGTAGTGGCCCTGGCTATTTTGCCCTCGTTGCTCCCCTTTCTGGCCTTGTGCTTATATTCCTGTCTATATTAAGTTGGAATATCAGCCTCGATATCAAATCCCCTATATCCCCTTCACCGGCAGAATCTTTGTAAGACACATCGCCAGGGCTAAAACAAAACAGTAAATCTTATGACCACAAATTTTACAAGGTTTTTTATGACTTTGATGTCCAATATTGAAATATTTGCAGTTCAATGAGTTCATATTGACATGAGTGAACGAGAGTGTTGAGTTTTGACTTTTGACAAAATATTTTTATAATTTCGTACTATCCATCCCATGAATCTTACCTGTGAAACGAATTACTCGTCCTTTTATGTAAAGTAAAGTAAATTGTTGCATCAGCAAGTGGAGCAAAACGGCACTTTAATTCCTTCCAAGTTGAAAAAAACCAGCAAAATACGAGAAAAATATACAGTATTATGTTTTTAACTAAAAAAACACTGCCAAAACCAGGGGGGTGAAAACGTCGTCTGAAGCTCAGGATCGCGGTTGGTCAGTGGCAATTCTGTGAGAATTACGGACCAGTTGTCATGGAAATGGCGTGAGCAAACGTCAAAATCCGCCATTTTTTTGGCTTCACTTTGTTCACTGAACGAAGTATAGGAGCAGGTCCTCCAGTTATTATACAGCTCAGTGATCAAAACCGATAAGGTTAATATCCTGGCTTTCATTTCTGCATACAAAAACTCTAAAACATTGCGTAGAAACGTGACTGAATGGATATTTAAAACGAGTATCTATTTCATGAAATAATGGGCCGTGTTTCATCTTTCAGACACCATAATGGATAATGGAAATGGACCGCCCGCCCGCGTGTAATTTGAAATAATGGCCGGACGGGAAACTAAAGTCTAATTTGGAGTGGCCTATCCTCCATTCTAGTTCGATAAAATACTCGCGAGTTAAAACATAATATTTACATATAAATTATTAATTTAAATTAGCAAAGTCTTGTATTAATAAATTTTTAGCTAGCATATAAACATTAGATAGGATTATTTTAATTAAATTAATAGGAAGTCAATTTAAAATTAGGTAGATAATAACTATAGGATTAAACAACTCACATAGGGCTAAGGCTAAGCAAATAAAATATTTTAAATAATATAATGGAGGGTGAAACAAGCACTTCACATGAGGCAAACAATGCTGAAAGTACTGAGGTCACTAGAATATGGAAAAGATATTGTTGTATACCACAATGTCAGAGTAATACCAGAAAAAATCCAGAGTTATCATTTCATAAAATACCGAAAAATCCTGAAATATTAAAGAAAAATGGGTACAATTGTTGAAAAGGAAAGGCGTAAGGGACCCTGGTCCTAGTCACAGAGTATGTTCAAAGCATTTTGTGGATGGCAAAAAATACTACGACAACACTATTCCAACAGTCTTCACCACATTCACAACCAGTAAACCAAGAAAGACCCCAGCTGTAAGAATAACAGTTGTTCCGCCTGATCTTGAAACACCATCCAATGTGGAAATACCCGAGAATGATAATAACACTGAAGATAATAACACTGAAGATAATAACACTGAAGATAATAACACTGAAGATAATAATACTGAAGATAATAATACTGAAGATACTATCAATCAACTGAAGGACAAAATAACTCTACTTGAGACTCAGAAAACAGCTATGCAAGCAAAATTTGACAAAGATGTTGAAAATGTAAAATGTGGTTTATTTCGTATTGAAAAATTTATAAGCAGTGACAGTGACTTTAGATTCTACACTGGCTTTCCCAATTATTCATGTTTTAAAGCGTTTTACGATTACCTTTCACCAGCTTGTGAACATCTTATGTACTTTGGCACACACACCACCCCTGTAACTTCGGAATCTCAAAACAAATGTGGCAAACCAAGATCCCTGTCACCAGAACAAGAATTATTTCTTGTTCTGGTAAGGTTACGTTTGGGGTTACTTCTCCAAGATATTGCACATCAATTTAACATTTCAGCAAGTCATGTGTCTCGAATTTTTAAAACCTGGATTATTTATTTACATCACCGCCTTCGTTCCCTACCAATTTGGCCCAGTCGCATATTTATTGACGAAAACATGCCCCCCTGCTTTCAGCAAGCCTATCCAAAAACCAGAGTGATTATTGATTGCACTGAAATCTTTATTGAAATGCCCTCATCATGCAGGAGTCAGTCAATCACATTTTCTATTTACAAGCACCACAACACTGCAAAGGGCCTGATTGGTATTTCACCCAGTGAATACCCAAGTTTTGTTTCATGTTTATATGCGGGGCACACAAGCGACAAAAAAATTACCAACGACTGTGGCATTCTAAATCTGGTGGAGCCTGGGGATGAAATAATGGCAGATATGGGATTTGATATCGAGGCTGATATTCCAAGCGGAGTATTGTTAAACATTCCGCCATTTCTAAACGGACAACCTCAATTATCGGCAGAAGATGAAGCTAAAACACACAAAATCGCGTCAGTCAGGGTTCATGTTGAGCGTGCAATAGCCAGGATAAAAAATTACAGAATCTTGCGCCAAGTTATTCCATTGACATTGGCTGAAAACTTAGAACAAATTTGGAGTGCTTGCTCCTATTTAACATTGTTTTTACCGCCAATAATTAAGGATAAACAATCTTAAACTGTTGGTTCTATTGTGAGCCTTGAATTATGTAGCATTTATATATCAATGCACAAATTATATCATACTATTTATTACAATTCTGGTAACATATATTCAGTATAGAAACTGCTTAGCTCTGGGACAATTTTATGCCAAAAGTCAATGTCAAAATAGATCCTCTCAATGTGTAGGTCAACATTTGTAAAAACAACAAAATCACACCAACTAACATTCAGTGTGGCCATGCACCCTTGAATTTGGTAAAAATAATTGTGTGATTTTTTTAACTGTATCTTCCCATTAAGTTTTTGTAAACAAAAGTTTTTGTCTTTGCATGCCTCATCAACAGTCATGTCTTTTTTTGAGAATGGGCATTTCACCTCCCCAATACCAAATGAGTTGGCTTCTGCACCATCGAACACTAAAAAATCAGGACTGGCACCCAACCATGGAAACCTTGAATTTACTACAAAACCACAATGTGCGCACACATCAATGTTTCCTTGTTGTTTTTTCGTTTTCTTATATTCCATGATAGCCTCACACTCCTTGTCTTTTCCCCACTGGCACGGTTTTGGGCACTTAGACCGACTAGACTTAATGTTTGACATTAATGTTTTTGGGTACCTTTGCCGCCTTCGCTTAACTATTGGACCAAAATTTGAAGAGGTGAGTCGTTTTCCACGTTCCTCAAACCACCGGTCTTCAGATGATTGTTCCCTAGTGTTTCGTTCAATTTCAACTATTTCTTCATATGAGGTTTTGACAGATGATTGTAAATTTTTAATGGTTTCACATTGACATTGTGTAACAGTTTCCTCGGCTGTTGTAGGTTGTAGGTTTTTTAAAATTTTATCACGAACACTAGGGTCATTAATGTTAAGTTGCATTGAATCAGTGTATCTCTTTTTAGATGGTATATCTAGATGCATGCTTTTGAAAGGGTATGGCTCACAGTCATTTGATATTAACAAATTCCCCAAATAGCTTTGTTCATCAATATCTATCAAAGCATTAGCCAACTTTTGAACTTCAGGTTTTGTAATATTCTGTGCAAAATGTGGAATGGGGTCATGTATATTTGGGGCTTGTTGCTCGTTTTTCCTCTTTTTACCCACAACATCTTTTTCGTATGTGGCCTTTTTAAATGCCATGTTCTCGTAAAGAACAGGCTTGTCAGATTCATCTTTCCTTGGTACATGCCATTGCTGTAGTAATTGTGTACAAGTGGGCTTATCAGGGATTTCTGTCATGTCTAATTGTTTATATTCAATTACTTGAAATAGCAGAGCAACAACATGTTTGCACTGCCCACCTTTCCCTGCTGTACATGTACAGTTGCTGTGCACAACCTCCCCATTAGCTTCATTTAGATGAACATATACAGTGTACACATTGTTTTTCATAGCAGCATTTACACAGCCTTTAACTAGGAAACACGTCATGTTGCCTTTCGTGACATTTTTTTTAACCTCAACTTGCCCAACATATTTATCTTTAAACAATTGATAACCTAGTTTCTTGTGTTTTTGAGCACCAGCACCAGCATGTTCAGTTCCAAAATGCTTAGTTAGTAACTCATGTGTAAATGATGGGAGGCCATGTAAGTCCCTTGTCCACCTTTTCAATTCTGTAGCCATAGTGGAATCGCCGTTTTCTGATACGCCAATATATTTTTTCAAGAGAATTTGACACGCCAATATATTTTTTTCAAAAAAAACTGACAAATTGACACGCCATTTTTAAAAGTATATTTTATTTAAAAATACAACGACGTAGCTATATATTTAAATGTATTGATGTCACAAAGTGTACAAATAACAAATGTACCATTTTTAACGCAAATGAATAATTGATTTTTAAATTTGCATCAACGCATGTTTAATGCATGGCTACATGTAAATACAGTTTCACATTGTATAATCATCAAATTATCGATTCAATATCAAAATGCCAGAATTTTATATATTAATATACATATTTAATATAATTTTGAATTCGTCTTGTATTAAATATCGTACTTGGGTAGCAGGATTACTATGGATTAATCAAATAAACAGACACCATCCTACCTAGTACCTTCGTTTGAAACCATCGAGTCCATTGACCATTTTCTCAAATTTAGGGCTGCTAGTGATGGGCGATACCGAGTACTCGGTATTCGATACCAGCGATACCACAAACAGCGGTATCGGTATCGATTACTGACGTGGTATCGTTCGATACTTGCACCCTTTTTTAAACGACTTGTTTAATTTCACTTCTTGGTTGAATAAGACTTAATGAACCACTAAAATAACTCTTAATATTCCAAATGTGGTGCACCAAGTCATGTTTAAAAAATATTTATTACGTTTCGAGCTTTTGGTTTACTTATTAGCTTTTTATTAGCTTTATTTAGGTTACATACAGTAGTTTAAAATGGTTTTCCGTTAACCGGCAGGTATCGAAAGTGGCCGATACTAGCAATTTAAGTACTCACTTCCGGTATCGAAAATTGAAATTTTGTGTTCATTTTGGTATCGAAATAGGTATCGGTATCGACCGATACCGATCTTAAAAGTATCGGTATCGGTATCGAATTAAAAATCCTGGTATCGCCCATCACTAAGGGCTGCACATTTTGGCGCGTATTTGTTGTTTATAACTTTATAGGCCTGCTAAATTTGCGGTCAGTTGACCCTGTGGTTCCCCATTACTTGGTGTAAAATTTATATTTCCTTCCGGGTTCACCGAAGGCAAAGCGATCTTATTATTTTAAAAATATTTTAAAAATTCGATCGAAGGATTCGAAGACAGTCAATCTGTCAATTGTATGTTGTACAATACGCCACGCTTTGCTATCCTAGAAAATCTACGCCACGCCAAACGGAGCACGTAATATTTACTTGTTTACGCCACGCCAAATTAATTTTCAAGTCCACAGATACGCCAATATATTTGGCGTAACATACGGCGATTCCACTATGGTTCTGTAGCAGCATTGTTTGCCTCATGTGAAGTGCTTGTTTCACCCTCCATTATATTATTTAAAATATTTTATTTGCTTAGCCTTAGCCCTATGTCAGTTGTTTAATCCTATAGTTATTATCTACCTAATTTTAAATTGACTTCCTATTAATTTAATTTAATTAAAATAATCCTATCTAATGTTTATATGCTAGCTAAAAATTTATTAATACAAGACTTTGCTAATTTAAATTAATAATTTATATGTAAATATTATGTTTTAACTCACGAGTATTTTATCGAACTAGAATGAAGGATAAGAACCAAAGCAAACTTCAGCTCGAGGACAAAACAACAGCAGAAAACGATGAAAAACACTTTCAACTTTATATTTTCTTGTTACAGCTAGAAACAACTCATTTAAATTCAGATATTTTCGCGCCAAAACATCTTCAAAACATTTTGTCAGGCTATGGCTGGCAATGGCAAATTCGAACAAAATTTTGGCTAACATTTGTCATTTTCATGAAGCTAAAAATGGCATTTTTGAAGCTATAGGATTAAAATAACCTTGAAATCTGATGAGATTAACTATCGATTGGGCTTATTTTTCAAAAAAATTTAGCCGATCGCCAGTAGAAAAGCTAACTCACCTGTTTTGGTTGATGTGGTCAAGTTTTCGCGAGCGAATTTAGGGGAGGCGTGTGTACAACTGGTCGTCTTCACAACAAATTTTCTTCGCCACTAATGAGCCGAATTTCTTTAAATTTTCTACATGAGCACTGCCAAACACCCTCGTTATTTTCCACACAAAATTGCTATTGATCGAAGCCGAATAGAGTAAAAAATCCGTCGTTGTTTCCTCCCGAACGAAATCGCTCGCTCATGCGACAGCCATTTCGTTCGAAAGCAACCTACAGCCTCCTACCGTCATGCTTAGCGAGCATATCGCTATTACGCAAGTGGTCAATTCCTACTGGCTATTGTGTACAAAGGCATTTTGGCGCGTATTGTCCAGGCCGAGCCATTTGAAATGTAGTTCACCGCGTGGTAATGGACTCCCTAATATCTGGGCCTAATACTGTATGCTCACAAAGTGAGTGCAGATTACAGATCAAGTTTTAGATGATGCTGTTCTGGGGGGCTGCACAAGGCAAGCTGAAAAATTGCTTGGCTGTGGTGAGAATCGAACCTTTGGCCTGTTTGTCCGATGCTCTACCAACTGAGCTACGAGGTCAAGTCGATTCGAGTGTGTGACATTGGCTGACTTGACCTCATAGTTTAGTTGGGCGAACGTTGGACCAGCAAGCCAAAGATTGCTATCGCGGTCAAGCAATTTCAACTTGCCCGGTGACCTAACCCTCCTCCCTCCCCCCCCCCTCCCCACTTTTCTTCAGGGCCAATTTTGTAATTCTTTCAAATATTAAAGAGGGGAAGATTAGCCCCCGACCCACTCTTTGGCGCTGGCTACTCTGAGAGTAACATCATCTAAAACAATTTGAGTTCAAATACCACAGTCACTACATTTTCTTATCTAAAATATCAAGTCTGTTATCAGCGGTGAATTAACTTGACCCATAAAGCGCCAGCGCTCTCTCCTTAACGAGTTAAATCGTCTGGCGTCAGACGGAGTACAATGCTAAAGTTGGGCGCGTTAAGGCGCAATGTGATAGTTTAATGGGTTAAAGTGAGCCCGTAGTGAACTGTTTTATTTGTTTTGCATCATATTGTTCTTTTAAGAGCAGTGTTTTGTCAGGATGTCAACAAGGAATTTCCATATCTGTTTTTAGGAATTCTTCGTGAACAATAATGCGATTCCAGAGGAGTGCTCTGAAATTATGTCAATGACATCGTTCTCAGCTGTCAGGAGTACGTCAGGATCGTATAAGGTACAGACAGATCTCTTGTACGGCAAGCCTGCTTCACACGAGAGAAACTTGCTGAGGTAGCTACCTCAGCAAAAAACTACAATCGTGTTCTAATCTCACAAAAAATATTAAATGTTCTTAGGGAGATCGTGTGTTTGTCAAAGTTTTGCCAAGAATTGTGGATATCTCCAAACCAATGCAGCGAGAATTACGCATGGTGAGTATTTTAATATGGAGAGAATTTTTACAGTTTGATTTGGTTATACCAGTAGTGCGACTAACCACAATATATTTTTTGGTATGTGTAATATTTGGGTCATTTGTAATATATCTTTATAGTAAAAAATCCAATCTTGATCAACTTTTTCACTGTCAATGTTTCCGGATATGATGTCATTAGGTGAATTGCAAATTAGTTTTCCTTTTGGTTGCAAATTAGTTTTCCAAAAATTCACCTAATGACATCATATCCAGCAACTTCGACTGAAAAAGTTGATCAAGATGAGCGGTTTTTTACTATAAAGATATCTTACATTTCTTCTTCGAATGAAATTATATTTGGGGTTAGTCGCACAAGAAAAATCACTATCTTGTGAATAGCGCCATCCGTTCTTCGTACAAGACAAGATTTAGACAAAACTAACAATAGTTTTATTTGTAGTTAAGGCACATTCATCACGAAAACTTAAATCCTTTCATTGGTCTGGGTTGTGAAAATAGCTATATCTGGATTTTAATGCAACTTGGTTCAAAAGGAACCTTAGAGGTTTGTATTCCACACCATTTTTTGTGCACATTCTTGGAAGTTTAGATTATATATAAGTTTGTTTTCATTCCAGGAAGTACTTGCCAATCCCGATATAACATTGGATCACCGTTTTATTTTATCTCTAGTCTATGATATTGCCAAGGTTAGTGCTATATTCGGTAAATGTTTTCAAAATTACAGCGGTCCCGTGTTACAGCTAGTATGTTAGCTTTTGGACAAGCGTACTTATCGTAGAAAAACTGGCTAAGTTGGTAAGAAGACTTGGCAATAAGAAAACGTGTCATAAAAAACTTACTTGTCTTTAAGCCCGTTCTCCACTACGCGAATTTGTTCGCGCGACGCGAAGCGAAAACCGAAATCCGGCAACGTGATTGGTCGGCGAAAAAATTCGCGGCGAAAAAGTAGGATCGCTTCCTACTTTTTATCTGTTCGCGCGAATAAATTCGCCTAGTGGAGAACGGGCTTTAAAGATGGTCACCACGTTTGCCTTTCAAGCTGGGAGACCCGGGTTCAATCCTTGGTCGGACCTCTACTGAACGTCTTAAAATAATGGACCCATTCCCTAATGAACAAAATTTTGATCTAGACAAGTCTGTCAAGTCTAGACAAACGTTTCACCACAGCTTGAAAGAGCATCACAAAATTAGTAATATTCTGAAGTTTCGTTGCGAAATGTTGTAAAATGCGGATAATATAGCACTGCGAAGTTTGCCGTTTTTCAGTCATTTTGTATTACGCACGGGAAATTGATACCGCTTTCTGATAAAAGGTATCAATTTCCCGTGCGTAATACAAAATGACTGAAAAACGGCAAACTTGGCAGGGCTATATTATCCGCATTTTACAACATTTCGCAACGAAACTTCGGAATATTACTAATTTTGTGATGCTCTTTCAAGCCGTGATAAAATTGTTGTCTAGATCAAAATTTTGTTCATTAGGTAATAGATCCATTGAGGAGAAAGAGCTGACTGACATCAGTAAATGGTTGGACTTTCGCGTCTTCTCGGATAAGGACATTGAAATCATAGGTGCCTCGGATCCCCTACCAATTGGGCAATCCGTTCATGAGTGAGAAACTCAACTAAACCTTACTAGATAATTTTATAATAAATTTATAAATAATAATTTTTCTGTAGGGAATGACATTCCTCCATAGCACCGACATACGATCTCACGGGAACCTCAAGTCAAGTAACTGTGTGGTCGACAATAGATGGGTGTTAAAAATAACTGATTACGGAATACCAGATATCAGGTCGAGACAGGCAAGATACATGGGGCCCGATAACGAGGATAAAAAATTTAGAGGTACAATTTCTACCTGTTATCACTGAACCGAGAGAAGAAGACCCTTGCTGGACCAATAAAGAGAATTGTTTAGAACTGCACTGAACCATTGAGCGATGACCTTTGCTGGACCTATCCAGTATAAATAAAGTTAGTTTAGTTTAGGTTTCGTCCTGTAGTAACACTGGATCAATAAGCTGGACCTATCCAGTATAAATAAAGTTAGTTTAGTTTAGGTTTCGTCCTGTAGTAACACTGGATCAATAAGAGACGATCCTTACTGGACCTCTAGGAAGAACAGTTTAGAACTGATAGAGATATCCAGTATAAATAAAGTTAGTTTAGTTTAGGTTTCGTCCTGTAGTAACACTGGATCAATAAGAGACGATCCTTACTGAACCTCTAGGAAAAACAGTTTAGAACTGATAGAGCTATCCAGTATAAATAAAGTTAGTTTAGTTTTGTGTGAATGAGGTTCCCTTTCAAAACTTAATAAAAACGTATCAGGGAATAACTGTGTATGTCAATGGTCCGCCAAGACATTTGCCAATCTATAGGTAATTCACTTGTTTATTTGCAGACTTATTGTGGAAGGCACCAGAACTTTTAAGAGAGACAGATCCCCCGCCATGTGGCACCCGTAAAGGAGATGTATACAGCTTTTCCATAGTTTTGGAGGAATTTCATACTTTAAAATCACCTTATTCGAACAGCGATATTTCTGCTAGAAGTAAGTGCAATATTTCAACTATATAACTTGACAAATTATCTTTTTATTAGCTCAGACCCTATTGACAAAAGATCATAGATGCAATAACCACTGAATTGAAATGAAGAAATGCTTTTCTATCACAGGAAGTTTACGCTATTTTTCTATGACTGAGTTGTGTAAATTTTTGCCACTCATCACAAAAGTGCAAAGTTTGTTTCGATGAAACTTTGCACTGAAATTTAAGACTAAATTTAGAAAGCCTTCGACTCGATCAGGTTCAGATTAGCACTTAAATATAATCTTAAATATTTGTTTTATTTTACAGATATTGTGGACCGTGTAGTGGATGGCGAACTGCCGCCATATCGTCCTGTTGTTATTCACCCTATCGAGAATGCTGAACGTTTGCTGGCTTTAATGAAAGAATGTTGGCGGGAAAATCCTGACAAGCGACCTTCGTTTCAAGAAATAAAATATGAAGTCGAGAGCGCCATGACTAAATGTGGATTGTAAGTCCTTGCATTTGTATTTTAAACTATTCGCTCCAGTGAGCTCCTTATATAACTCGAGCGAGAAGTCGAGTCGAAAAAGTGAAGACCTACGCCCGTATTGTAAAAGCTCACTCACACTCAATGAGTGGAAGTTCAATATGAGCTTCCCTTGAGTGTCAATGCTGTTTTTGAATAGCTGGAGGGTGAGTAATCACATAGTAAGGTACGACACTAACCCTCCAGCTATTCAAAAACAGCAATGACACTCGAGAGAAGCTCAGATTAAACTTCCACTCATTGAGTGTGAGTGAGCTTTTACAATACGGGCGCTAGTCAGTTTCAGTCCATTCCTGTTGTTTTTGTCTGCGCGGTCTGCAAGAAGTGTGCCGAAATTTCGTATTTTGACATCGATATTAAGAATAACACTATGGTTTAATGAACTGATAACCTGATTAGCGTTACGGTCCGTTAAAAAAAACTGGGATTAGCTGGGGAAAATGGTATAAAAACTGTTTACGACCTTCAGAGCTATTGGACGTCAATGGCCGCCATCTTGGCTTCATTTTTCTCATTGACCAAATAACTGAAGTTCTTGTTCCAGATATATAGAGAGCTCAATGCTTTGCTCTTCCAGTACAAAGTTGGTTCGTATTCTTGGGTTTGAATCACGTGATGTTTTAGCATAATTTTGCTCAAGTGGTGTCAACCATTGAACTGAGGTCAACTACACACGTAAAAACGCACAAGTTGTAACAAACCTACAGCAGACTTGTAGCAATGCTGTTCCAACAACTTGTCAACAAGATGTGTTCGCACTGCTTGTTCCCAGCTTGGTTGACAAGTTGTCAACGACTTGTTGACAACTTGCTACAAGGTTGTTGAGTTCAACAGACTTGTTACAAGTTGGATTTTTTCTGTGTTGGTGTTGTGTACTCAGGTGAATAATATGATGTTTGTGATGTTACTCTGAGTGTATATCCACACCGGGCGAGCTTGAAAAATATGCCCGGCCACGGTGGGAATCGAACCTACGACCTTTGCAATGCTAGCCCAATGCTCTTCCAACTGAGCTACGCGGTCAGGACGGTTCGAGTAAGTGATATTTCGGAACAGAATCTAGTTCCTTCGATACCAACAGAATCTAGTTCCTTCGGTTCGTTTGTTACAAGTTGTTCCGACAACTTGTTATCGTCCTGCAATTCAACAATTTGTCAACAAGTTGTGAGTGACAACCTTGTAGCAACTTGATAAAATAACAGCATTGTTACAACTTGTTGACAAGCTTGTTACAAACCTGTTGCGAACACATCTTGTTGACAAATTGTGAGATTTTTACGTACAACTGTAGAATAACAAAGAAACAAAATGGCTGTCAACGCATCTTATGCAAATGAGTTCTCCGACTATTATAAAAACTAATATAAAACAATATAGAAAATATAAAAGCCGTCACGTGATGTCATATGAAACCCGAGAATATTGAAAAACTCGCCTCTTTATATGTTAATTTTGTTTTCTTTAGGAAAACCGACATCTGTGACAATATGATAATATTGCTAGAAAATTATTCCAACGAGCTTGAATACGTTGTTTCACAGAGAACGAGGCAACTCAAAGATGAACAACAAAAGACTGATGCTTTATTAGACAGAATGTTACCTAGGTAAGATTGGGTATGGGAAAAACTTGGGGAATTCAGAGGTTGTCAATTTCGGAATTCAATATGAAGTTGTGCTTGGAAGGTCAATATGAAGTTGTCTGATAAAGAATTTACCTTCAGTTGCATGGGAGATGAGTGCCCCCATGCCATTTTGACTCTACCAAACACCAAAGATTTTCTCCATGTGCTATAATTTCCTCTTAAAACTGATAAAGCTATCCAATATAAATAAAGTTTGTTTAGTTCATACCCCAGACAAACGGGAACAAGAGTTGCATGAGAGTTGAGAAGCGAGAGTTTGCATGAGAGTTTTCTCAACTCTCATGCCCCAGACAAACGAGAACAAGAGTTGCATGAGAGTTGATGAGAGTTGAGAAGTGAGAGTTTGCATGACAGTTTTCTCAAGCGAGAACAAGAGTTGCATGAGCAAAAACTCACGTCAACTTTCATGAAAATTTGAACCAGCTCAAAGTCGATGAGAGTACACGAGAGTTGGCGGTCAAACGTGGGCGAGAGTTGCAACTCTCATCAACTCTCATCCCCGTTTGATCAAGTCTTAACCTTGCATCATCAAGAGGTATCCCCTACTGTCCCTCCGGAGAGGACAGTACAGAACTGATTTTCCAGATTGTACAATATTGCTTTCTTTTCCAGGTCAGTTGCAGAACAATTAAAACGGGGTGAAAATGTACAAGCTGAAAGTTTTGCGAGTGTGACGGTTTATTTCTCGGATATTGTACAGTTCACAGCGTTGTGTGCCGAGAGCACTCCCATGGAGGTAAGATGCGTTCATGTTTAAATAACAGAGCTTAGACCATTTGCATTATAGACTCATCACAGCTTGAAAGAGCATCACAAAGTTTCGTTGCGAAATGTTGTAAAATGCGGATAATATAGCCCTGCGAAGTTTGCCGTTTTTCAGTCATTTTGTATTACAAACGGGAAATTGACAGCCCCAAAGGGTATTGGGGCATTAATTTCCCGTTTGTAATAGAAAATGACTGAAAAACGGCAAACTTCGCAAGGCTATATTATCCGCATTTTACAACAATTCGCAACGAAACTTTGGAATATTACTAGTTTTGTGATGCTCGTTCAAGCTGTGATGAAATTTTTGTCTAGACTTGTTGAGATCAAAATTTAGTCTATAATGCAAATGGTCCACTGGCGGTGACTCTGAAATAATTTTATTAGAGAATGTTGATGTGATTTGTTAATTTTATTGTCTCATTTTGTAGGTTGTTGATATGCTGAACGATTTATATCTATTATTTGATGATATCATTATGGATTATAGTGTTTATAAAGTGAGTAATATGTTCACTTATAAAATAACCTTTTAATAACGCCTGCGCTGATTGGTTGAAAAGCGAAAAATCCCGTGTTTCTATAACGCTATAGAACACGGGAATTTTCCACGAACCTCAAAACAACACACTAAAACAAACGTTTTCGCCTGAAATATCGATTAAAAATCTTCGTCAACCTGAAATTTTGTTAAACAAGCAATGGAAAACACTTACCAAACGTTTTTTCGCTTTAAATTCTCTTTAAATCAACTTTTTCAGCGTGTTTTTTCCCATAATTTTGCAGTCGGCAAAACTGAAAATTGATGCCGGTATTGTTGCTAGACAACATTTTCTTGTTATTGTGTAATGAGAATATACTTTTTAATCGCGTGAAAAATATTGTTTTTGTGTTATTATCACAAGGTTATTTAATAAAGGAAATAGAAAACATTTTTTCCTGTGTTTCTATAGAGTTATAGAAACACTTGTGCTAGTTTGGGAGAACTCGAAATAACGTGGAAACACTCGCACTACGTGCTCGTGTTCCCACTGATTATTTCTCGTTCTCCCAAACTAGCACGCGTGTTTCTATAACTCTATAGAAACACGGAAAATGTTTTCTATTTCTTAAATTCTACGCTGTTTCCATATTCTTAATAAATGGGGAACAATTTAAATACACCCTTTCACTAATTATGTCACAAATCCCTCTTTGGTAAATAACCATTCGTCTAGTGGTTGTGACAAATTTGCAGTATACGTTTATGCAATTTATCAATGCTTTCAAGGTTGAAAAACTATTGTTACAGCTTTAGTGCACAGTTATTTAGCTATCATTCAAAGGTTTTCAGAAAAAATATCGGAGAGGGCGGTTGCCATCCTGCCAGTGTGACCAGATTTTTTCAGCAGTCATTACCAAAATTTTGTTCAAATTTTACTAAATTAAGAAAAATTTACCAAATGTTGGCTTCCCAAATAATTACATCATAATAATGCCAAAAAACAGTAGTTGCGTCATCAAAGTAGAAAAAATATGCACAAAAATGTATCTCGAAATACTTGTTGCTTTCATCATATTGCAGTTTTTGCTAATGATAAGGCTTCATTTCTTAGGCTTGGAAGTTCTGTTCATCACTTTGAGCATGTTATTAATCAGATTTTACCAAAATTTTACCAAAAAAAAATTATTACCAAATTTTCTTGAAAATTCACGAAATTTGACCAAAAGTAAAACTTTTTGCCAAATCTGGTCACACTGCATCCTGCCCCCCCCATCTCATCGTTTGATCAGGGCTTAACTATTGCCCACCCACCACCATCTAGTCAATCAATTTGCAATCACCATTTATATCTATCTCATCAGGTTGAAACTATTGGCGATGCGTACATGGTTGTTTCTGGTCTACCTATGAGAAACGGCAAACTTCACGCTTCAGAAATATCGTGTATGGCCTTGGAAATTCTCGAGAATGTTAAGAAGTTTAAAATTGGTCATAAGCCTGAACATGAACTGCAGATTAGGATTGGCATACATACAGGTAAGTTTGAAACGCTCTTTTTGTTATGATAATAGTACTACTGTGTCATGGTTTGTGTCCGGTCTGCAACTAGTAACATGTGTCACCATACTGTACTAATTACGGGGTAGTTCTTTCTGGATTTCTCGAGAGGACAGCTACGAATTGATAGACCTTGGGGCTTAATCTGATTCACTTTTCCCTCCGTTACAGGTCCTGTAGTAGCCGGCGTCGTTGGTATGACAATGCCAAGATATTGCTTGTTTGGAGATACTGTGAACACCGCATCGAGGATGGAATCTAATGGAAAAGGTATTTCCCAATCGAAACTATTGTCGATCCTTGCCTTATGGACACCTCTCTGATACGGACACTTCTCTAATGCAGACACCTCTTTAATATGGACAATTTTCTAATACAGGCATCTCTCTAATACAGACATAGTCATCTCTCTAATACGGGCACCTCTCTAATAAGGGCACCTCTCTAATAAGTACACCTCTTTGATACAGACACCTCTCTAATATGGACATCTCTCTAATATGAACACCTCTCTAATACAGACACCTCTCTAATATGAACACCTCTCTAATATGAACACCTCTCTAATACGACTCCTCAATTTCAATTGCAGGCCTGCAAATTCACATGAGTGGCTCCACAAAAGAGATCCTGGACGAGTTAGGTGGTTTTCATATTAAACAACGAGAAGGAGAGGTCTATCTTAAGGTGAGTGGAATCGTAGAATGAATTCATAAAATATTTGAGTCCCTGCCGGAACTAACTGGCCGGAACCGAATTCCGGTACACCCCTAAATTGGTCGCTCAATCGGTCATTGATACAGTCTGTGAGTCAATTGATAGGTTGGTCAATTGATAGGTTGGTCAATTGATAGCTTGGTCAATTGACTCATTTGATAGGTTAGTCCTCTATATTCAGTCAGGCCGTCGGTCAGTCATTGAGTATCTATCTATGTATTTTTCTATGTATCTATAAATCATGACTGCTTTTTAATTTCCATTCGTCACAGGGTAAAGGTAATTGCATAACCTACTGGCTTATGGGTGCATCGCCTGACGTGCCTCGCTGTCCCAGGAAACTTAGCAAGAAAGCGATGAAACCGCTCTTCCAAAATTCCAATTCGAGGAAGTATTCGCAGCCATTTCGTACTCGAAAGAAGACCCAAATCTCGTTCCCGCGTGCGTCTGTCGCGTGATGACGTCATCCTTTGATCTTACCGCCATGATATGACATCATCCGTGGTATTACGTCACTGTTTTAATGGCGTATCCTCTAATCATACCGACATGGTGTGACGTCATCGTATGTGTGACGTCATCATAGTACAAGTCTCCATACGACTGGTGTTGAACTATATCTGCTGAGCAGATCAAATTTTGCAGAAAATAATGAACTCGCCTTTTATTCTGTATTATATGTACGCCACGTATGCTAATGTAGCATTCGCGCGAAGAATGCTATCATGTCTCTCGCGTGGAAATGATCGCGCGTGGGTGCGTCACACGCGCGAGTGAAATGATCCGGAAGCGGCCCTGTTTTGCGGGCAAAACTGTGGGCATCCTGAAATTTGTTAGGATAAAGTGTAATAATAATAATATACAAAGACAGAACCTTGTGAATTATAAACGCATTCATCGTTTACATGAAGAGAAAATCAAATTAACAATTCCAAATTTGAAAAGTAATCCCTCCGTACATCAATGCAGTACGTGCCAATGGATTAGTTCCAATCTAATGTAATTTTGTATGAAAACAAACTATGTATTAGAATAAAATACTAGTCAGGACAATGGTCAGGTATAACTAATTAATAATCAATTAATATTAATCGTACAATACGATTATTGCATCAGTATTTTTGCCTAATTTGATGGACTTTGTCTTTGATATATCTTTGAATTTTTGACAAAAACAATTTCATATCAAGACATAAACAAACAAAAGGCAGCAAGCATCCAAGTTGAATGGTTATGCTGATAACATTCAAAGGCATAACCATCCAAGTTGAATTGTTATGCTGATAATATTCAAAGGCATAACCATCCAAGTTGAATGGTTATGCTGATAACATTCAAAGGCGTTACCATCCAAATTGAATGGTTATGTTGATAATATTCAAAGGCATGACCATTCAGACTTTGTCTTTGATATATCTTTGAATCCCATTTTTGACAAACAAAATTTGATATGAAGCAAAAGGTAGCAACCTTAGTCTCCATCACTGCTTAATATTAAATAGCCAGCCACTTAATTACGCGCAATAGAGTTTCTTGTTTCAAATATAGAAATGATGATTACATGCAATGGAAAAACAAAAAAAATTTAAACATTGGTCTAACCAAATGCTTGCGTGTGTGAGACCAGATTTTTGAATTGCTTTTTCCACAACAAATATTTTCACAAAATGTTTGTAAAACAAAAAGCACTTAACTCATTCCACCCTGCCCCCCCCCCCGAATTCCACTTTGCTTCCCTGTGTATATATGTAACCGTTCCACATAGTTTTGTTCGTATTCCGTAGATCATAACGAAAATGCATGGTCTGACTGCTCTAACAATTTAATTATCGGGCTCCTTTATCAATCTACAATGCACGTAAAAACGCACAAGTTGTAACAAACTGCAGCGGACTTGTAGCAATGCTGTTCCAACAACTTGTCAACAGGATGTGTTCGCACTGCTTGTTCCCAGCTTGACGAAAAGTCGTCAACGGCTTGTTGACATCTTGCTACAAGGTTGTTGAGCTCAACAGACTTGTTACAAGTTGTCCCAACAACTTATTATCGTCCTGCAATTCAACAATTTGATAACAAGTTGTGAGTGACAACCTTGTAGCAACTTGATAAAATAACAGCATTATGATGCTACAAGCCTGTTGCAACGCATCTTGTTGAAGATTTTTACGTGTGCAGGAGGGGTTCAGAACCGTTAACCGTATTAAGACTACAAACGGTTGTCTCCAGTGAACGCGAAAGGCAAAATCGTGCAAATTGCGGCCGCTAAATTCTGCACTCGTATTGGCCAGCCGAAAACGAAGATTCAAACCGGAAGTCACTCGTGTCCCTTTAAATATTCGGCATCTGTTCGTGTGACTGGTAGTTTACGATGCCTCATCACGAAGAGCACATCTCTTAAAAAAACCTGAAGATATCACGTGTTCAACAAAATGAAGTTACTGAAAGTCCTACTCGTTTTCGCGGCAACAAGCTGTACGTATGCAGGGAGATTGGGTAAGTTTTGTGCGAATATTTCTAAAGATTTTTCTCTAAATCCTAAGGGATTGGATTTTTGAAGGGGACTGAAGCTCTAAAGCTTGAAGCTAGTGTTTGGGTAGTTTTGCAGTAAAGTGCCAATAAGATTCAAGAGTGAAAATGCATTTATTTACTTTCCTTTTGTGATATTTTGTCTTGAAATAAACAAACTAAGAGGTTAAACCAATAGACTGCCCCCTCGATAGTTTCGTCTTTGCATGGATAACAAGTCACGGACCTCTCTTGGTTTATTGGAGAAAGCTACGGTACGTACTCGTCCCACTCGAGAAACCTTTTAATTTTAAGATGTTTTTGTGTGAACAATTTCCACTGCGTTCGAAAAACATGTAACAGAAGGGCTGGAGCCATTTATGAAAGACGAACGGCATGGTCTAATGTTTGCAACCATTAGAATAGGTCTCCCGCATAGAGAAAACAATGTACATTGTTTTAGTTTAAAAATACAACCATTAAATAACACAATGTGGACTCGACAAGCCTACACAAAGAAGCTCTGCGTCCGGTTACTTAAGAAATTTAACTGTATTTAAATGTTTATATACAGTGCCCCTACAACGCGGCGTTGTTTAGCAAATGCCCCCTTGCTGCCGGACACCCGTGTTCTGTGATGGCCAACTGCTTTCATACGCTTTTTTGCGCCAAAAGCGGCGATTTTTTCACATAATTTAACACTCCCACGCCGCAAAGGAATCTCCCTTTTTTCCTGTCGTGAAACCAATGCATATTTTTGAAATTTGTGGTAAAATACTTGGCCCGTCGCGTCGCCACAACGTTCAAACCAAGCCAAAATCCAGCATCGCATTTTGGTCAAAATCAAACATTATCAGCCAAAAACATGCGGTTTATTTTAAGTAATTGAGGGCTATCGATAAACAATGCACTAGGGCAATTTCAACACACTTAAATGCAATCATATCAAAGCAATATAACATTCATTGCCGACTTTTAAAATGTTTAAACTCCCTCCCGCCATGAAGTCTGCGACACCCGTTCATGTTTTAATAGCCTTAACTTTTATACAACATCTAATCAATGAGCTCAAACAATTGTATCGAATTTTAAGCCCACAATTTGGCGGCTATTGTCTCTGGCATTAGAGATTTTAATTCACAAATGTCTGCTGTAGTTCTTTTTAATATAATTGCGAATTAGAATTCAAATTAAAACCGTGAAAAAACATTAGCGATAATTGGAATGTTCTAATTCGGTGCGAAGTGAGCTCGCGTGCAACATTGATTATTATTGTAGCAATTAGGTAATCAAAACACAGCTAATTCTGTTTTTGCCCATAAAATCCACAGAGATAAAGCTTTTCAAATGCATTTTGTTACTATATATCGGCTTGGCTTGTATTAAAACACGGGTTTTGTCTAGACAACCTGTTATACCGTGTAGTGCATTGGTTATTCAGCATTTCGTCGGTGGGCTGGCGAGTGCTATATTTAGAACACATGTAATTACAACCTTCGTGTTTCAACTGTTGTAATTTTGAATTCTCGTGGTTATTTTGGGTATTATTTTTATTTGTGGTTGCACCATGAAAGGGAGATAACATATTAACATAAGTGTTTGCAATCGCGTTTTAATGTGCGAGATCAGATACCAAAAAGTACAAGCAAAGCTAACTAATTATGCAGACTGCGAGACAATGTGTCTCACAAAACATCGAAATAACAAGCGAAGTGCTAATAGATAATAATGTTAATATTTGAACAGTGTCGTTTTTTTCTTGCACTTTGCAAAAAACTTTCTTAATTATTTATTAAACGGTTAAAATTGAGAACATTTTAGTTTTTGAGAAAGCCGTCTTCCTGTCCAAGTTTGAGCTTGACAATCATAAAATAAATTATTCATTTGAATATAGATTATCAATTACGGACCCGAATTTTTGTCTCTGTTCAATGGGAAGAGCTGGTCTGTGTTCAGGCAGCTGTCTCGGTCCACAACTGTGTAACGAAATATAATTTAGTCGAGTAATATTTCTCATTGCAATTGTGGTATTAAACATCTTTTAAAAACTGTTTCTTTAATTGCTAAATTGAGTTAATTAACCTAATTTGAAACCTCACTGAACGATTGAATATATCTGTCAGTTTTAATTGGTTATTTAAAGCAAAAGCATTTCTCCGACGTCTTTCAAACGGTTTGGAAAGTTCTGGTGACGTTCAGGTTACGAACTAAAAATGGAGTTTATTGGAGGAAACCCTGCCCTTGTTTTTTCCTGTTTGGGTTTATTTGACTTATTACTTTTTCAAAGTTAAATTTTATTAAGCAAAAATGGCTAGCTTTATAGTCGAAGAAAACCGTAAAGCGTTCATGAAGCACTACACTGAAACATATATAAAAGTGTCTTAAAAGATTTCTCAAGTAAGCTACCGTAATTGTCAGTGTAAATTAAATTAAATTTGAAACTAACCCCAGACCCAAGTCCTTTAAAGTTTCAAACTCAATTCACGCCGGATTAGACAATAGTTAGACTAAATAGTCGGTATGCAAACTTTACAGTAACAGGTCATTTTACGTTGTCGGTACTTTATGAAAGGTAATACAATCAGACTCTTAGCCGTCTGAACGCTGTTCAGCTTTGCAAAGCAAAAACCGAAAACGATTCCCGTCGAGTGGACATTCGAGACAATTGCAAGAACTATAGGAGTATACAAATGACAACAGAATATATTCAGTTACTTCGTTTCAATATTAAAAGTTTAAAATTGTTATTTATATATCTGAAACTATACTAGTATAAATTATATTTGCACCGTTGTACTTTTCTTCAATTCTTTTGATTCCAATATCGGTTGTTTGTGTACTTTAACGATTAATTTCAGTTCCTTTAGGTTTTTTTTTCGCATTTAAAGCGGTTTGCCTTAGAGTCTGCTTTTATTAATAGCTTGAAAGGCAGGTTTACTATTTGGAATGGTCTTTAAATTTACATTTTTTCCCAAAAGGTACAAGTATCTAATCCAAGTTTAAAAAATTGCAACTGTGCCTGTGGAACCAGTTTTGCAACTCTAAACCAAATTAGTTCTACTATTGAACTGAGAGACTTTTTCAAAGTCAAAAAATGCCCTAAAAGCGTTCCTGAAACTGTAACATAAAACTGATTTACAGTAAAATATTTTTCAAGTAAGTCTCAGAGATAAAATAAACTGAAAAGCTTTTCCGGCCCTAAAAATTGGGTACCAAACATTCACACCGCTCGTTTACATGTCACCACAGAGCAGGTATGTTATTTATAGATGTGATTTCATCAATGAAGTAAAGTGCCTTTTGTTTTACAAACATTTTTTGATAATATGTTTGTGGAAAAAGTAATTCAAAAATCTGGTCTCACTCACGCAAACATTTGGTTAGAGTTTTTATTTATGTTTTTTTTGTTGGTTTTTCATTGCATGCAATCATCTCTATATTTAAAATTAAGTGGGTTTGATATAAGTGGGGGCAGTGCAACACAATATATGAAAATATATAATGCCCTGCCCCCCCTCCCCGTTTTGGCGGCCCTGAATATAACTATGGATTGTAAAATAACGTGTAGTTATTCTACGATTGTATTCTACGATTGTAAAATAACAGCTAGTTTCCTATCCATTTATTTAACCATTGCAAATTCAGTTCACTTTCTAGCTTTTTATTTGGTACTGCTACTGTCCAGTTACCTTCCATTTCTTGAGATCAGTGAGTAGCCCCAGTCTTTCTTTCTTCGAGCTGAAAACAAGATGGTGGCCGAATTTGAAATTTTTGAAATGTCCCAAAATATGACAACAAAACCTCACCTCTCAAGCTATATAATACAACAGTGTCGCTACATTTCTTGCCTTCACTTTAGGCTGCGATATTCCATTGAGCAAAGCAGACAAAGGTCTGACATTCGACGCCTCTTCTTATGCACCGGACAGAGAGCCATACCGGGCCCAAATGGACGAAAGAAAAGCATGGTGTGCAAAAAAAGGTGTCAAATTCTATGATTACCTTCAAGTGAACTTGAGCAACTTACGCCACATCTCAGCAATCGAGCTTCAAGGAGCAGAGTGGTCATTTATGGAACATTATGTCAGAACGTTCTTGATTAGCTATAGTATTGATGGCACAAAATGGAAATTCTACAAATCTAAAACTGCGTCCAGAAGTTCGGTAAATTATATTTATTATTATGTTTATTATAAGTAATAACATGACTAGAGGGAAATTAGCGATTAAATTGCCTGACGCCGAGGGAAGATTTGAAGATCACAAATCTTCCCGAGGCGAAGGGCAATTTAATCGCTAATTTCCCGACTGGTCATGTCATTAGTTTGTAATATTATGATCACTGAGGGTATTGCACATGGTGTTTTGGTATGTTTTGAATGCTGTTTGATTGTCTTATGATTGTGGGATGAACACTTTTCATATATACGCATGCGCAGAAACACATCTCTGTGTTCATTCTTTTTAGGCATGCGCATAAACCGAATTTTCTCCCACAATTGAAATGTTCAACTAAATTTCCCAGGGAAATTTAGAAGACAAAAGTGTATACATGGGTAATGAGGGAAATACGGGATTTACATTCCCTTTCAGAACAATGAAAATCGAGGTGATCATGGTATTTATTATTAATACATTTCATTGATATGCTAGTTTAAGGATTTGATGTCACCTGAATATATTGTTCTGGACTCAGCATATTTATCACAGCATTAATTGGGGCCAGGGCGCGAAATAATGGCTGGAGGGTTGCCGGTCAAGATGACCAGCCAACTCAATTTTAGGTTGGGCATACCAAATTTCTGGCCGGTCAAATTATTCAGCTTAAAGCAAAGCCTAGTGAAGAATTCCCCTAAAAATGTGACTATTTCCTCAGTATAGCATTATAAAAAGCTTTATTGTAATCAGTAATTAAAAACTCCTTCACATAAAACAACTTGTACTGCGCTAAAAGCATGGCCTTAACTCTTAAGCTAAAAGATGGCCATGGACTTTGTGACGTACTGCGTGGGAAAGCTAGCGTATATTGAAGTTCTTTTCCCGCAAAATATTCGACATCATTTTATGGTTCTTAATTATAGTACTTGACAACTTTAGTTTGATTATTAATTAAAATGAAGATTAGTTTGTTCTTTTACCGAAAGTGACCGGTCAAAATGACCGGCAAGGTAAGAATTTGACCAGACAACTCCGCATTCTGGCCGGACATTGTCCGTTGACCGGCCGTTATTTCGCACCCTATAGGCGGTTAGTTGTAAATAGGATTAGTCCCCCGCACACACGTAAAAATGCACAAGTTGCGTCAGGTATGCAAACAAATTGTTACAAATCTGTTCACAAGTTGTGTTCGCACTGCTTGTTCCCAGGGCGTAAAAAAGTACCCGTATTTCCGGTTCCCGACCGACCCTATTTTTTCTGCCAACCCTATTATTTTTTCAACGTGATTAACCGTGCGGCCCTATTTTCTCCGAGTGGTTGCAGGCTGCTACCAAAATGGCGTCCGTTGTCACACTAATTATTGAAAAAAATATTAAGTGTTGATGTGGGTTATAAGTGCGAGTCTTTGTCATAAACTGTCATGTCTCAAATTGGCCTTTGTTGTACAGTTCAAGTTAAACTAGAATCTGAGTCCGGAAACAAAGAGTTTGGCTAGAAATTAATTTCTGATCTCTGTATTTTTTAGCCGTGGACGGTATGTGAAATTTATTTTTTTTACTGATTCCAAGGTAAAAAATAAAAATTATAAAGTTCATTGTTCACAATTTATTAGACATGCATTCACAAATTTCACCAATATTTTACCCTTATGCATTCATCAACTTGATGATCGTCAATTACCATCTCGATATGGACAAGACTCGGATGTTATACCCATATTATTTCACATTCCCCCCAACACCGAACCAAAATTGCTGCTGGTCTTGCAAAATTTGAAAACACCTACCTTTAAAAATATAATTTTAACAACCTTAAACATAATTATGGAAAAAATAATTAGATATATATTAAATATAATGGTAACAAAATTAACAAATATAATATAATAAAAATTCATATAACAAATTATTGTCTAGATGCACTATAATCTAGTAAGCACCTTTAAAATACACTTATTCATAAACTGAATAGTGACTGAGTTAAAACTAGTATTAAACACATCAAATGAGTAGATTAAAACACTAGTTGTTTTTAATATTAAATTTAGATAAAATACAAAGTGATAAAAGAGTACAGACTGACATACAGAACTAATGACGTCTTACGTACACTCATCACTCAATCAAGTGTTATGATATCCTCTGGCTGTGTTTTGTGTGCTGTTGTTATTGGTAGTGTAGCCGTTGTATTGGTAGTACTATTGTATTGTTCTGGTTAGCTAATGATATTGCTACTGCTATTGTTGTTGTTGTTGCTGTTGATCTTGTTACTGTTGATATTGTTGTTGTTGCTGTTGTTGTTGTTGTTGCTGTTGTTGTTGTTGTTGCTGTTGTTGCTGCTCTTATTGTTGCTGCTGTTGTTTTTGTTGTTGCTGTTTGTTGTTGTTGTTTTTCGTGTTGTTGTTGCTGTTGTTGTTGTTTTCGTTGTTGTTGTTGTTGATTGTTCCTGTGTATTATTTTACGCCATAAGATTGTGCATTATTGTTTCTGTGATGTTGTGTTGTTAAATGTGTATATTACTTAGTTACTTTGTAATGTTAAAAATTCTGAATTTTGACTGCCTTTGTTTTATTGAATTCTAGTGATTCTCTTCTTTTTTAAGGTTTGTAAACATTACATAACATTATTGTGTGCAAAATTTGAGCAATACAGATATTTCAGATGGCCAAGTAACCTATTTTGAGAGGCGGTTGTCTCATGAGTGTTAAAATAATACTCACAGATCAGGCTGCTTGCAGACTTTTACTACAGTGTAATCACAACATGCTAGTAACTAACAGTTCTGAAATACAAAACCTAATCATTAATTACTGCCAACTCTTGTGCACTCTGACAGACTCAAAGTCAAATAATCTAAATGAGTAACATTAACACACTACTGACTTTCAACACTAATCCTTAGATTAATAACATAGCCCTACCAAAACGGACAATTTTGACTCATTGGGTTAATCATGTGGACCAATTAGTTCAATAATAATACTAATTAACAAATTAGTTCAATGATAGTACTAATTAACCAATTAGTTATATTATAATACTGCTTAACCAATTAGTTAAATAGTAATACTAATTAACCAATTAGTTAAATAATGATACTAATTAACCAATTAGTTAAATAATACTACCAATTAAACTAATTAACCAGTTAGTTTTATAATAGTACTAATTAACCAATTAGTTCAATAATAATACTAATTAACCAATTAGTTATATGATAATACTAATTAACCAATTAGTTCAATAATAATACTAATTAAAGAGACTGTCAGGTCTGTTCTGCTCGTGCACGTGTTTTTTTTTACATTTTTTGTTTCAAACAATAGATAATTTAATTAAAATTCCGATCTATGGACGCACAGATCGGAATATTAATTAAATAATCTATTGTTTGAAACAAAAATGTAAAATTAACCAATTAGGTGAATAATAATACTAATAACTAACAATATAGGATTTATATTTTGTAATTGCAAGACTCATTGCGTGCTTGTTACGACATATAGCGCTTGGAAATTTTAATTTTAGAGACAATTTTTCATCCAAGTAGAAACATAGCAAACATTTTGTAATGTGAATTCTGTCTTTTCCCTTACTCAGCAGATATTTACTGGCAACAGCGACGCCTCTGACCGACGTTTAAACGAAATCCACCCCGCATTCGTTGCAAAATATGTCAGGATCTTTCCATTGTCCTTCAAGAACAAAATGTGTATGAAGGTTGAAGTGTATGGCTGCAACGAAACAGTTGGTAAGCATATTAACAATGTGCAGGGTTGGGAAGTATTTTACTCTCTGGGACTGCAAGAGAACGTTGAAAAAAATTTCTCCAAATAATCAAGTAAATCGACACTTGGACACTGTAACTGTGTGACGACACTAACAATTTGTCAAACTGAATGTCATGCTATATTCTAATAGGGGAAAAAAATTCAGTGCATTGCGAATCCTAATAATAGTTTTAGGAATATGACATAAAACTAATCAAGGGTTTGATCTTAAGGTAAATACAGATGCCAAAAAAGGGCACTACCAGTGGGAGAGGCACTATCAGTGGGAGAGGCGCTATCAGAGGGTCTCTTCTCCTCTGGAAAAGTTTAAAAATCTTGTGTCTCACATTGGCTAAAAATTCATTTGCCCTACAACATTTGGCACATCATTCTATAGTTTATACATTTATACAATATCGCACTATTACGATGGATGCACTTATAATTGTATTTCTGAGCTCACACCTACAGCATTTGTTCACCCCTACCATCTTTTGGAATGAATTTTGATTTAAATTGTTAAAACTTGTTTCTATCAGATTGTACTCACGTGATCAAGTTAGGTGAAGACCAAAGAGTGACGATAAAGACGCCCTCCTACCCACTCCCCTATCGCAATGATGCGCACTGCAACTGGTTGGTCTACCTACCTAAACCTGAAATCCCAGTGTCGATTGTGGCGATAGACTTCGATGTTGGAGGCTCCGCATTAGACGAAATATCTTGCGCAAACGACGTGGTGAAAGTGTACAGGAATCTGCATCCGTTTTCGAAGTACTTGATCGGTGCTTACTGTAACAACAGCAAGAATGTGATGCCAAGAGAGGTGAAACGGCCTACAGATTCTCTCAGAATTTCTTTCACTGGAGGAGATAACCATATTGCAGGCCATAGAGGATTTTCGCTCTTGTTGTGGGCGTCGCAAGAAGGTACCGTACAATCTTTAGAACGTTTAAGAATCGCTATCTTCGAATTTATTTTTTATCATTTTTATTTAAAACTTGATTTAATGATGTTAGCCCCGTCAGCAAGAGTTTGTTTCGTTGTTTCATTCACTATGCATATGTCAAAATTAATTCACCCCACTTTAAGTAGTGATTTATTCGTATGAGATGTCATTTCAAATCCTCCAATTCGGACTGGATTAGATTTCAAATCCTCGCATTTTGATCCAGTCCTTGGACTCCTGGATCAAAATTAATTCACCCCACTTTATGTAGTGATTTATTCGTATGAGATGTCATTTCAAATCCTCCAATTCGGACTGGATTAGATTTCAAGTCCTCGCATTTTGATCCAGTCCTTGGACTCCTGGATCAAAATTAATTTACCTCACTTTAAGTAGTGATTTATTCGTATGAGATGTCATTTCAAATCCTCCAATTCGGACTGGATTAGATTTCAAATCCTCGCATTTTGATCCAGTCCTTGGACTCCTGGATCAAAATTAATTCACCCCACTTTATGTAGTGATTTATTCGTATGAGATGTCATTTCAAATCCTCCAATTCGGACTGGATTAGATTTCAAGTCCTCGCATTTTGATCCAGTCCTTGGACTCCTGGATCAAAATTAATTTACCTCACTTTAAGTAGTGATTTATTCGTATGAGATGTCATTTCAAATCCTCCAATTCGGACTGGATTAGATTTCAAATCCTCGCATTTTGATCCAGTCCTTGGACTCCTGGATCAAAATTAATTCACCCCACTTTATGTAGTGATTTATTCGTATGAGATGTCATTTCAAATCCTCCAATTCGGACTGGATTAGATTTCAAGTCCTCGCATTTTGATCCAGTCCTTGGACTCCTGGATCAAAATTAATTTACCTCACTTTAAGTAGTGATTTATTCGTATGAGATGTCATTTCAAATCCTCCAATTCGGACTGGATTAGATTTCAAATCCTCGCATTTTGATCCAGTCCTTGGACTCCTGGATCAAAATTAATTTACCTCACTTTATGTAGTGATTTATTCATATGAGATGTCATTTCAAATCCTCCAATTCGGACTGGACTAGATTTCAAGTCCTCAGGCTTGATCAAATTGCGCGGCCTTGAAATCTAGTCCAGTCCTCATAGTCTGAATTAAAATATTACTACAAGATCGCAGTGTGACGCAGCTTATCGAGTAGCCGTTGAGTTAAACCTTTTTTAAGGGCATAAATTGATGGAACCTGTCTAACATTAGGCAGAAGTACATTCCATAACTTAGCTCCGCTGTATTCGGACTTTTTTGAGAAATTATTTTTTCGGCATTGGAAGTGACAGATTTATATTATTATTTCTGATTTATTTTATTATGCTGTTTTTGGGTATCACTTCTCAAAATAACATTTGTTTCGAATTGAGAGCAGTGTGGTTATTATAAAGAAAGCTAGACACATAAATAAGCTGCCGTGTCTGAAATATCTAATTGGCAACCATACCAGCTCATTCTGAAATAGTGCCCACTCTGGAGTCCACACTTTTGAGATATCCTTCAGGTAGTTCAAACACAAACCACCACGGCTTATTGTAAAATGCTTCCTTGGAGCCATACGTTTGAGATATCATATATTTAATACATTTCAGACTATAAGACAGCGAAGGCATGCTGGAACTCTACGATCACTTTGGACTGTAGCGATGCTGAACAGGATATCGAAGTGATCTCTGCATTTTACGGTCGTCGTCCAAACTCCCCCGTATGCCGTGTAGAAAAAAATGGAACGAATGGAACTACGGTGAATGCTACCTTCTACAAAGACTCCTGTAAGGCGCCTGATGTTCTGCCTAAGTTACAGACCATTTGTGATTACCGTAATGTGTGCAAGATCGTGATTAATGATGAGAACTTTCCTCATGGCTGTACCTCTGGAGACCCTCTCGAGATGTTTGTTGTATACCAGTGTAATGTTACTAAACGTAAGTATATTATTTAGTACCTAAAACTAATCTGAACCAAACCTAGTCTATACTGACTAGCTCTATAAACTCCAGAATAGTTATTCTTTAACAGGCCATTGTTACTGAAGGAGGAATCCTTAAATAAACTAACATTTACTGAACTAACTTTATTTATACTGGGATAGCTCTATCCGTTTCTGAACCGATCTTTCTAAAGTTAAACAAAGGCCATCTCTTATTGGTTTTGTATTCAGTATTACACTGTCTAACTTTAATTATACAGTAGACAAAAAATTGAGTTCAATAACACGTTTATCGTACATTTCATGCAACTCTTTTACAACGTAAGCTTGAAATAACGTGATATGATAATATCCACACACTTGATTTTTTCCTAGAAATTTCGACAACTTCAATGCATACTACAATCACGTCAACAATGAAACCACATTCTACTTTATTAAGTTCATCAGACACCCATGGTAATTAACAAATAGATTAATCTCTTATTGGTTCTGTATGTGCAGTACCACATTGTCTAACTTTTGTTATACAGTAGACAAAAATTGAGTTCAATAACAACGTTTATCGTAAATTTTATGCAACTCTTTTGCAACGTAAGCTTGAAATAACGTGATATGATAATATCCACACACTTGATTTTTTCCTAGAAATTTCGACAACTTCAATGCATACTACAATCACGTCAACAATGAAACCACATTCTACTTTATTAAGTTCATCAGACACCCATGGTAATTAACAAATAGATTAATCTCTTATTGGTTCTGTATGTGCAGTACCACATTGTCTAACTTTTGTTATACAGTAGACAAAAATTGAGTTCAATAACAACGTTTATCGTAAATTTTATGCAACTCTTTTGCAACGTAAGCTTGAAATAACGTGATATGATAATATCCACACACTTGATTTTTTCCTAGAAATTTCGACAACTTCAATGCATACTACAATCACGTCAACAACGAAACAGCATTCTACTTTATTAAGTTCGTCCGACACGGCATTAACCCATGGTAATGAACAAATAGATTAATCCATTATAACAACCATAACTAGAGGGCACTCAGAGACTGCATACCTCCGCCCGTTACTCGGAAGTGAAAGGCAACCTTGGAATTTCCTAAGAAATCCACTTTACAATTCTTAAGCATAAAAGATTTCAGGCCCCCGCGAATTGAAATCGAATTGCTAATAGAACATATTACTGTTGTTGTGCTGTACAGTACTTGTAAAATAAAAACTTATTAAGTGTCATTAAATAAATGCATAAATTTTGCTTTATGCACTCGCGCGTGCAGTAATTTTCACAGTTGTGCTATTTTAAATTCCCAGGCAGCTAAAATCTTTTGTCTTTAAAACAATGTCGATTTCTTGGGAAATTCCGAGGTTGCGTTCTTTTTATACACCCTGTATTGAAGTAATCTAATGTTGTTAGAATTTGAATGGACTGGCACTTTGCTGAACGTAATAATGCGTAACTCCGTAAGCCTTGTTTTAGACATTGAATTTCGGTCGCGTGAAATGCAACTAAGACAATAGATAATGAAGGCCGAAGCTTAATGAGGTTTATCATCTCATTATTGTCTTAGCACTGAGTGCATAAATTATACATGTCCTAATTACGCATTCAGTAATATTTTTTGTTAATTGACCGGGAAAAGCAAGACAAAATTTTGTTCATTTCTCGTTCAATTTTTAACCAAATTCAACCAAATTTTAATCAGTTCTTCCTTAGCCGATGGGAAATGCATTCAAAAAATTTCGTACGGATATGTTTGGTATTTCTTGAGTTATCGTGCTCACAGACAAACACACACACATACACACACACACACATACACACACACACACATACACACACACACACATACACACACACATACACACACACACACACACATACAAACCCAGATGATTACATAACCTCCTGGCGGAGGTAATAATTAATCCATATATTAACAACAAGAATTTAAATATGATGGTTTCTTACTCATCACATTAATCCTCATATACTAATCCTAACTTAATCCTAAGCCGTAATCTTAATCTTAAACTTAATCCTAACATAATCCTACACACGGAAAATTCTCAGTCTGATGATGCCATCAATCTTTTTACAAGTTGTTAACAGCTTAATTGTTCTAAACTTAATTGTTACAACAACTGGGAACAAGCAGTGCGAACACAAATTGTTGACAGCTTGTGAACAGATTTGTAACAACTTGTTTGCAGACCTGTAACAACTTGTGCGTTTTTACATGTGTAATCTTTGCCCTTCTGCTTACCCTATAGTCTATAACCCCATCCTAACCCCAAGTAATAAACTAATACAAACATATTGAGTGTTTTAACCTTATTTTTTCTTGCAGCTCTTACAACTACAACCGTTCCTCCGACAACGACAACAGCACCGCCAACAACACGTGCAACCACTACAAAACCAGTTGAAACAACGAAAGAAACCACAACAAGCGAACCCCATGCAGCTACTAAGATTATCGCACAACCCTCGAAAGATGACGGACAATCAATCATTATGATCGCGGCTGTTGCTGGGGGAGTGTTCATTTTGATCATGATTGTTATCGCTATCATCACATGTATTTGCTGCAGAAAAAGGTATGAATGCGTTTCAGAACTCGGAGCTGGAAGGCACTTGCTCTAACAACTGAGAAATAATATATTTCATTGTTTTTATAGAAACAACGAAAAGGCTGAGTTGGGCAAGAAAGGTGTTGTGCCATCGGAAAGGTATGAACTCGAATAAAAATTCGCAACTTCAATTTTTTGTAAATTTCCTAAGGCCAAAAAAAAAATATGTGGGGTTCCGGTTTCTTCTTATAAAAACTTAGGTAGGGTAGGTCGGTTTTAACTTTTTTTTTAAACTTTTTTTTTAATTTTCCGAACAAGCGGACGCCATTTTGTTTAGTCAGTGCTTCCACATCCAAAGATAAATTTCCCTAATATTGCCTCAAATTTCAATTTTCCACAAACTTTTTCCTCTAGGTGGAAACACTTACAAGCATGATCCAATAAAAAAGTTTAGGGTCGGGATTTCGACGTCCAAAAGCTAGGTAGGGTCGGGAAACCGGAAACCCACATATTTTTTTTTTGGCCTAATCCTATTTGGTGTCGTGGTCATAACGCTTGTCTTCCAAGCTGGGAGAACCGGGTTCAATCCTTGGTCGGCTCTACTCAAGTTCTTAAAATAATTGAGGAGAAAGAGGTATCTTTAATTGACATCAGTAAATGGTTAGACTTTCGCGTCTTCTCGGATAAGGACGTTAAATCGTAGGCACCTCGGATCCCCTATCAATTAGGCAATAAGCCTGTTGTGAAATCCGCTCCCCAATGAGTGAGAAACTCCATAAACAATTCATAAAGAACAGGATCTTGAAGTTGATGACTTATGTTGCACTTATTTTGACTTTTTAAAAAATATAAAATTTATAAATTTACTCATTTCTTAGCACTCAAAGTAAAGTGATGGTTGAGTCTGAAAGTTTGTACGAAAAGTAGGTGTTAAAAAATAAAACATATTTAAATAATACTTTATAAAATAGTCAGTAAATTAAAATACGAACTTAACCGCATTTAAACGGCTTCATTACAACTTATAATGATACAAAATAAACTCGCAGTCCCTAAAAAGCAATGTTAGTGTCATCTAGTCATGATCCAGTAATTGAGATGTTTTATTCAGAGGTGCAAAGTATCGGAACCTAGGAAGCTAGTTCCCAGAAATTTTTGGGGATGTGCATTTTTGTAGAAATTTTTACAGACACGTGAAAATTGGACCGATTGATTATCTAAATTACCAAATACCTGATTATTGAAATGATTAAACACCTAGTTAATCTATACTAACTCGATACCTAAATCACAGTGGAAAAGTTTCATTAAAAAAAATCCATATAGCCTGCGGTAGGAAATTTGTTTTTAATCCTGTAAGACTGTAACTACTATGACTACTTCAGGATTTATCTTGTACACTTTATCAGCCTTAAAGACATATTGCTTCACACAACAACACTTTAAGACAGTCACAAACGACAATCTTGTTATTTCCCACCTATTTATTGTAATCTTTTTCAAAAAAATCTGAGCCCTAAATCCAGGTTCCAAGAAACCCACATCTGGTAGTTCATTGTCACTATTTCTAATGATCATCGTATTCAATTACAGGATTAGTGAATTAGACATGGAACCTGTAAGATACTCTGAAGCTGAACCCAAAAGATACAGGTTGGTATAATCTGAACTGTTTATTCTTCCCTTCGAATGTGTCTTACGAGGATAAAATTTTTCATATGAAGATTTTATCCCACCTGACTGGGAGATGAATATTTGCCAATTTTGACCTATAATTTTTATCTCTATGTTTATAGTCCACTACATGACGCACACCGTGGTATGAGTGAAAATCCGCTGTATCAAAGGTAAGTCCGTTAACCAAGTTTACAACTTTTTAATATTTTCCTATAACTACGTACAGTAGGGTTGGTAGATTGTAACTACCAAATGACTCGATTTTGTCATCTTTGTTTTTTGGTTGGCCTGGGAAAAAAGTGATCTTTTGGTGTGTATTGTATTTTCGCTAAAGCAACAAATAGCTATGTTTTCATTTAAGAGGAGATTTTTTTGTATATTACGTAACACGCGCTCAAAACTAATGCGTATAATATATATCACAATATCACTTAAGGTTATGACTAAATTCAAAATTTTTATTTTTCGATACGTTTCTCAATCGGCAAACAAACTTAAAAAGTATGTTTAGTGCTTTATCTGTAAAATAATGCTAAAATGAAGAGATTTTAGATGATACGCCAAAGAGAAAATGATGTCTGAAGTTCAGTAAGTTTTGCTTATATGGCTATAAATATATATGGCGTCAATTTTAAAGCAACATTGATAATTGTATTTTAATTGACAATTTTTAACTATTATTTTATGTTTCTCAACCGGAAGATGCATTTAAAAAGGTAGCTAACTCGATAAACTAGAGAATAAAGCGAAAACAAAGTAATTTTGAGAGGAACGCCAAAAAGATTTTAGGTTTTGGACACTTTTCAGTGCAAATACGTGACATTGAAAAAAATTGCCTCTTAACCATTGTGTAATATCACGACTGGGTAATTAAACCAACACACTGCGCGCTATTGGTTGGTTGGGAGAAAAAACAATACACACGTGACGATAAACCGACCATTTTTTGCATAAACCAAGAACAAACATAGATAATGACGTCTATTATGTCTGCATCGAGTTCCCTAAAGCCCTGGGCAACCTAGGAAACATTGTTTACTACCAATGTTTCGCCATGTTTCCAAGAGTGGGCAGACACTAGGAAACATTAGTGAGAAACTTAGGGAAACATCAAATGTTTCTGAATTCGCTATAGGAAACATTTTTGCTTCTTGGGAAGCAAATTTTGTTTCCGCAACCATGTTTCCAAGGGTGGGCAAACGGAAACATTTGAGGAAACATCGAGAATGAATCACAAATGTTTCCACAACAATGTTTCCTACCAATGTTTCTCCATGTTTCCCAGAGTGGGCAAACACTAGGAAACATTAGTGAGAAACATAGGGAAACGTCAAATGTTTCTGAATTCTCTATAGGAAACATTTTTGCTTCTTGGGAAGCACATTTTGTTTCCGCAACAATGTTTCCAAGGGTGGGCAAACAGGGAAACATTTGAGGAAACATCGAGAATCACAACTGTTTCCTTCAAAATTGACCATGCATATTTTTTCTAGCGGTGGACCAGCTAAAGCTAATTCCTCATACGACGTACCCACCACTGCAAGATATCAAAACCACAACAACCTTCATCGTCCACAGTCCGTAGGTAACCCCCTCCTTCCCTCCACCGCCCCCGCCGCCCCGGAATCGAGCTACATCGACGTAATAAAATCCCCAGAGGAGCTTCCCTCCAACTCTTTGCCGATGATAAAATATTTGGAGCCTTCAAGAAGCAGCCCCCAGGATTTCACCGTAACAATTCCCTTAGAGCGCTACTCTGACTCGGACGGCACCCCCACTGGCTCATCTGCCGGGGGGGACGATGTCTACGAAGCTATGGATGGAAGTAATGCTTAGAGGGGTCATGATCACTGATCTGGAAAAATAGCTGGATTGATAACAAACTCCCACTGATCTTCGAAATGTTCTGGATTGATGGCAGCATCCACTGACTGGGTATTATGACTGGACTGATGTTCAACTTTTCAGATTGGTGATTGAGATGTTCTCTCAGAGTTAAAATAATTTGGTAATGTTGGTCAATTTAGTTCCAACTTTTTCTTGATTGAATTCGCTTTATACAGTATCGCAACGGTACTGAATATTTAGAACTTATATATTTTTCTCTTATCTATAGTGCTTTAATAATTTTTAACAGTTTAGTGATATATTCATCACTTTAAGCGCAAAGATACAATATTTGAAACTTTGAAAGGTACAGTCCCAGGGGTGGATCTACAGGGGGTGCGCACCCCACCTAGTGGTGTCTAGCACCCTCCTAAAGAAGTCCAAACCTTAAAAATCTGCTTGATCATACATTTTCTGCTTTTCGAATTGCGATTAGCGGAACTTCTACTGTTAGCGCGTGTCGATTTCTTGAAACGATTTAATTGATTTGTGAGCTCACGAGAAAATACTCAGAATGCTTTAGTTGAATATCATGGTTAAATGTAAACATGTCGTGGTTGTTATACAGCCATGTTTTCAATTGTACTTGAACAAGCACATTTAGCGTTGCAGACTGCAGAGGAGAGTGGGCAGTAAGGCTCCCCCATACACCACCCCATGGAAAACTTGCACCCCTCCTTGCAGATGAGCCTAGATCTGCCTCTGTGCATTCCCACTTCAACTTTACGAAAGTTATCTAAGTTATCGCTTTGCTTTCTTTAAATGACTACTTGCCAAAAACAATATAATTCTAAGTTTATCTTAATTTTTATTAATAATAGTTTTATCAAAGTATTATATATAACTTTTGTGTTTTTACGACCTTAAATTAGTGTTAAAATGTTTTTAACAAAGTTATGAGGTTCTATAAGTGTGTTTGAAATATAAGTATTTTATTTATTTGCTACACATCAGCCGAGGGAGGGGGGGGGGTTGCCAGAATACCAGTATATACTTGATTGAATAGTGGCTCGATATACCAGTATACCTAAAATTCCAGTCCACCTCTGTCTGCTTGATTACAGCATCTTAGGTAAATGTAGGCAACATGATACCCGTATTTTAACCAGGGGTATAGTCACGGGGGGAGTGGGTGGTCCGGTGCTCCCACCCCACTTTTCTGCAGGACCAATTTTGTAATTTGTCCAAAACTTAGGAGAAACTGGGGGAGGGGGCGTAGCCTCTTATGCTTTCATCTATGACATAAAATACACCAAATTTGTGGCTTTCAGATTATCATAAAACGTGTTTAAAATGCATGAAATAGAGTTTCGCAGAAAAATCTTTCCATTACATTTATTTGCTAGCAAAAGTAGCAAACACAAGGTCATTAAACTTGTTAATAAAATGTTATATTTTCAAAACTCTTTTGATAGAATCTCATTTTCATTCTTAATATATACAAGTTTTTAAATTAGTTATATTAAAGTTTTTTTTGTAAACGAGCTGCGCTTTTGTTAAAAAAGGCCAGTGGGCGTTCAGAATATTTCCTAACGCGAAAAATATTCTAACTCAAACTAACTATGATAATATTAAATATAATTATGCATATTAAATTCATTTTAAAAAATGTGTAATGGCAACGTTTTTAATTGTTACTTCGTTTTATAGTACTTGAATTATCAATTCTGCCCTCATTCATCCAATCTAAGCTTCCAAACAGAATTATTTTTCCTCAACCTGGTCTACTTTATATCCTGGTTATTTAACTTATTTCCGAAAACGACGTACTATTTCGTAAAACTAATTTAGTTTTTTTGCCATGTTAAATCTTGAAGTTATATTGCTGAAGAATGAAAGCGTGATACATTGTAATTTGGCTACATAGTTCAGTTGTGTTGCTGTCTAAATGTAACTAGTTAATTTGGATGACTTTAAAAACAAATATGAGAGTACATGAGAATTCACAGTTACGCGTCCTTGGTTAGCTGTTCTTAATGCTTTCCCAACACTATTATGTATTTAATAACAAACCTGCAGGAGACTTGTAGCAATGCTGTTCCAACAACTTGTCAACAGGATGTGTTCGCACTGCTTGTTCCCAGCTTGTTGACAAGTTCTCAACGGTTTGTTGACAACTTGCTACAAGGTTGTTGAGCTCAACAGATTTGTTACAAGTTGTGAGTGACGACCTTGTAGCAACTTGCAGCAGACTTGTAGTAATGCTGTTCCAACAATTTGTCAACGGGATGACTTGTAACAGACAACAAACTTGTTACAAGTTATTCCAACAACTTGTTATCGTCCTGCAATTAAATAATTTGTCAACAAGTTGTGAGTGACGACCTTGAGCAACCTGCAGCAGACTTGTAGCAATGCTGTTCCAACAACCAACAGGATGTGTTCGCAACTTGTTATCGTCCTGCAATTCAACAATTTGTCAACACGTCGAGAGTGACAACCTTGCAGCAATTTGATAAAATAACAGTGTTACAACTTGTTGACGTACAAGGTTGCTACAAGGTTGTTGAGCTTAACAGACTTGTTACAAGTTATTTCAACATCTTGTTATCGTCCTGCAATTCATCAATTTGTCAACACGTTGTGAGTGACGACCTTGTAACTTGATAAAATAACAGCATTGTTACAACTTGTTGACAAGCTTGCTACAAGCCTGTTGCGAACACATCTTGTTGACAAGTTGTGAGTGACAACCTTGTAGCAACTTGATAAAATAACAGCATTGTTACAACTCGAACACATCTTGTTGACAAGTTGTGAGATTTTTACATGAATGTCGCCTGTAACAATGCGTGACTGACAACTCTGATCCTCGTTTTACCGGTGTTTAAGACTCCCTAGTCACCCCCTTCCCCCCACCAAACCCCCCACCCCCGCCTACCCACAGCTGCCAAGGTTTGGGTCATAGGTTTGGGTACGACTACTTTTGAGCGATGGTTTTTCTCAACTTCCTTCAGTTGCAAGAACCAGGAACCAAAATGGCGTCCTTATTTGAACTTGAGACGCTAGAAGCACTTCTTGGTATGTGTATATTTTCCTCTTTCTCTTTTCTTTTTAATCTTTTCTGAGATTATTTACCTCACGAGTTTCTTGTAGGTTCACATGGCAATAAATAAATTTATTTTGCTTTGTCGAAAGACTCAAAACACCACGTTTAAATGTATTATTAGATGGAATAAAAGGTTTTGTACTTTTAATGTGTTGATAGACCGGAACTTTGTCAGTGCAAATACTATTGTATTATATAATATGGTCCAAACTTTATCACTCGTAGATAAATGCACAGACCCCTCCACGGGAAAAGAGGATTGGCGATACGTAAATGCGTTTTGCGACCGCGTAACCAAAGATTATGACGGGTAATTACGAAATTTTATGTACTTTGGAAACTAGTGTGGGTTTTAAGTATTAGTGGAAAGGGTTTTGTTGTATTATGTGTACTTACTGTACATATTTGGATGTACATATTTGTACTGGGTTGAAACATAAAATAACATATACTAGCCTTTTATATTTATTATTATTTAAATTTGTAATTATTTATAATAGTGACCAGTCATTAATAACACAAGGGGGAGGGGGGATATATTTTTATACTATTTTTTGTCGATTGTAAATTTCATTTGATATTTAACAAATATAAAACATTTTCCGTGTTGATATACAGTTATATCAACACGAGTGGAAATTGGGAAAACGAGAAATTGTGTGGAAACACGACGCCCGAAGGGCGGAGTGTTTTCACACAATTTTGAGTTTTCCCAACTTCCACGAGTGTTGATATAACTATATATCAATACGGAAAAA